ACTCACTATCAGATTCGACTTCTTTTTTTTTTTTTCTACAGAAACACAGAATTTACTGCTAAGAAGAATGTAATGTACTTTTCATTTTTGCTCAAGTTTATATTTACATTTTACTATTCTACATAATTTTAAGTTTCAAGAGTTTTGTATATAGATTTGTTTTAATTCAATTTCGTCTATATTATGTATAACCAATATTTTCTGTACTTATTTATCTTTATTTTTATTTTTTATGTTTGTTTTTATTTGGCCAGATATAATATTATAATTTTGTACTTTTTTGTTATTCTAAATGGACTTCGCCCCAGAGTAAAATTATTTTAAAAAATAATGGATAGTTTATGATTTTTTAAAAATAAAAACTTAGCTTAGTTTAGCTGCTCAAAATTCTTCAATAACTTGTTTTAATAATAACCAACTATAATTTCATTTAAAGTAAATCTTGTCTAGTTAACATGGCAATTGTTAATTATTATTATATTAATAATAATAGATATTTTTTTTAATTTGTTTATTGATAAATATTACAATCTGTCTCAATAAAGGACATTCATAATAGAGTTCTGAGAGCACATTCACACCATATTTACAAATTAAAAAAAAATAAGCTAACTTCAAATAATATAAAGCAACAAAAGAAAAAAAAGAAAATATCATCGTGAAGGAAGAAAATAGAAATAATAGTAATAATAGAATGAAAATAAATTAATATAATAGAATTAAAATTATCTTAAAAAAAAAATGTAATGAAAATAAACATCTTAGATGCAAGCATAAATATTTACACTATTTACAGTCGGCCATGGGAACTCCGAACCATACTTATCCCCCCACATGTGAAGGGTAAGCAAGGCTTCAAGAGATCCCTGCGCTTCTTCCTCAACCATTTCACTGGTATTAAAAGCCAGCGAAGATTGAGTAAGGGCGCTACAACCACGGACACTCATGACTTGAGTTGAGAATCTGGCCATTGCCAGAACACCAATATATACATGTTACAAAAGGTCACGGGGCCACTGCCGTTTCAGCCTGTGAGGAGGATTCTAATGATGAGTGGTGCTAGATAGGGATTGTGCTACGGGATTAGGGTGATGGGCAAGGTTCTGATGAAATTTGGAGAATTTGTCTGGGATAAGGTCAAGAATAAATGGAATATTAAGGTCATTATGCAGGGTTTTATTGGTGACATAGAAGGGGGCATCGACTATTGTACGGAGGACTTTGGACTGGAAGGATTGAATGCGTTTGATGTTAGAAAATTTGGTTGTCCCCCACAGTTCTAGTCCGTAAGTCCAGACGGGTTTTAGTATTGTCTTGTAGATCAGTAGTTTGTTTTCAATAGAAAGTTTAGATTTTCTATTAAGCAGTCTATGTAGCTGGCCATAACGTCGGTTAAGTTCCTGTCTTTTCAGTCTAGTATGCAATAATAGATATTAAATGCAGAAGTTCTCGCACAGGTGCACTAGTTCAAATCTACTCCCTATAATATCTATCGCTATGGAAAACCTTTCAGCATCAGCTTGTATAATCATTAAAAAAAATCTTTAATATATAACATAATTTTTAGCTCTTAATTTTATTAGGAATACTTCCTTTTCTTACCCTCAATAAAGCGGCCTGTTTTGAACCACCATTTGGACGGCTTGCAAGGAACTCCCTTCCCTCACCCTCCCCGTTCATTAGGAAGTTGAGCTAAAGTAGTTAATCTGTCGTTATGAATATTAATTTCCATTTGTTATCCGAGTCAATTAGCACTAATGATGTGAGTTATGTGAGCGAGTATGGAAGTGCTGGCATAGGCTTCGCGGATTTAGCAACGCAAATGTTTCCCTGGCGAAGCCGCTCGTGTTTAGCCATCCTTTCATTAATGTTTTAAATAATCTAAAATTAGCTGACTTCGTACCATTCCTTTTTAGTATGCTTGAGAAACATCCTTACTAGTCATATTACGAGAAATTACTATGTTTATGAAAATATCAATGGGTCTAAATAAATCCAAACAATGATCTAAACCTTTAAAAAAAATATCAAACAGACTCTTGGAAAAGATTAGATCGTCGGTTTAAAACAGTGGAATGTTTATTAAAAAGTTTAAACATTATTAATAGTTTCTTTGTCTTGTATGTATTGAATTTTCATTATTAAGACCAGCAGTTAATTTAGAATTTTCCTAGAATATAAATGGGATTTCCGAAAATTATACTAATTTAAAAAAAAAATATACGTTTTTTTAATATTTCTTTTTTCTTGACAAATGAAAAATATATAGTGGAGAAGATTATTGTATATTTTAATAATGCTCGTATACTTATAGTTAAGTAATCTATTTACAGTTAATTTATTTGTATTTTAAATTAATGCTAATATAGGGTGGAGAGTGAAAATTGTGTGATGGACACACCACATTAAATATGTTTTTATATTTTTTATGCAAAACCAGTCACCTTAATCATCAATATTTTTTTTTAAGCTCGAATTAATAAATTACAAAACAATAACCGGAAAAAAAGTCTTTTGGAACAAATTCTTTTACATTGATTGAAATAAAAAATTATGGGTAAAAATAACATGAAAAATTCGTAAGAAAAATGTAAAATTTAAATGTAATTAATACTAAATAGATACTGCAGAGGGAAACATTTATGTAAGCTGTATTTTCTTTTAAATGTATACAGTACCAAGATCATGAATTTATCGAAATCGTTTCTTAAGTATGTTTTTGTCACCCCAAGATATGGGAGATCATGAATTCGTGTAATCGGTCAATTAATTTCTATAGAGACGATGTAATGAGATAATGTGAAGAAAAGTATGTATTAAACATATATTTTTATAAAAAATAAAAAAAAATTTTAAATTAAAGAGAACGACCTTATAAACTTGTTGTATGAACAGATAATTCTACCTTGAAAATATAATAATTAAATAAAAACAACCTAGGCCTCTACATACACAAAGAGTCCTAGGTAGATTAGTTGTCTAATACATATTTTTTCAGGATTGAAGATTATAAAAGGTCATGTGATCAACATCGTAAAATCGCCTAGTTTACAGATTACCCACTTCACAGTACGTGCAGTATTCCAGTAGTGTATCCATAACGATAGTCAATTCATGGTTTACAGAAAATAAAGTTCATGTCAACTCCAGAACTCACCGAGCTGTACTCTTCATACACCTTTATGTTCGAGTAAACATACTCCTGAAGGCTTAGTTAAGGCAAAGTAAAAGCACTTATTTTTTTTTTTAAACCAGGAAAATTGTATTGGTCTCAGTAAGAACTATCGTCCAGAAGTTCTATTACGAAGAGGTAATAAATAATGTATGATTTAACTAAATGGTATACCCTAAGGAGATGGCTGTATTTCTCTCTAATGTATTCAACTTATAAACGGCATCTTTTATTTTTTTATTATTTTTTTTATTTGTTCTTCCCTACCTCGCCTTTTAGGCTAAACGGGATTTTCCCGGACCGGGGGTTGAGGGCGGGGAATTTAAAACCCCCTCCGGCACCGAGACGCGAACTCGTACTTTTTAAATCATCTCAAATCTCTGTTATCCGGTTGCCAGGCAACCTGTGCCCTGTGCACACGCTTTAGCCCATTCGGCCATCCCGCCGTATAAACGGCATCATAGAAACATGTTTAAACTTAAATAAAATATATTACATGTTATCAATATAAAATAAAAATATATTCTCAAGATATCCTACTCAACCCACCAAATAATTTACTCAATCAGTGACTAGCTTGTCACACATTAAAATATCCCTCCAATTTAACAGTTAGCTCAGTTATACCAGATCACATACTAATCCAATATTGTACTGGCTCAAGAGCGATTTGTTTTCCAGTTCTCTACCTAAGAGTATATTAGGGTATATTAGGTGCCCATATATTAAATATCCATACCTGGACTTTTTTGTTTATAGCAAATATATTAAAAAATTTCTTTATTATCCGAAGCGTAGAAGCGATCATACATATACTCAACTTTATACTTAATTATACTAGCTTTTTCAATATTTTTTTTAATAGATACATCGACGGTACTCATAAAGGCTCTACCCTAAGGAAATACTTTCTACCGTCTATTCAAGATTGGAAGCGAAATGGGTCCTCCCTGATTGTTGGGTGTCATAATTCCTCACAGGACATGGGGGTTTTCGTGCCAAGCTTCATTGCTTTGGGAAAGAAATTAACCCACCATGTCCCTGTTGTGGTGTTACGAAAACTGCTGAGCATATCGTAACTGCTTGAACGGCTTTTAAAGCAATAAGGGCCAAACTAATCAGGGAAACCGGACTCTACATCATTCCGGAAGATGATTTCCATCAGCTAGTAAAATAGGATAACTATGAGTACTACGAAGTATCCATGTATGGGTGGAAGGAATTAGTGGAGAATGATCATTTCAATCACCATTAACGAAGACCGAAAAACCAAAGGATAAGAGATAGAAGGTATCACACTACTTCTACCAAAATTCTGTACTGCCGAAAGATTTTTGGTTCATCAAAGACGTAATAAAAACCATTATTTTAATTTTTTAAATTTAAACACAAGTAAGGTACTATGATTGCCACAGCAACTATGAATCTTTCGGCCAGAACTACAATTTTTTTCGAAAACCGGACATTTTCGACTATTGAAACGCAGAGAATAGGTTCTTGTTGACCGTGCTGAAATCAAACAATTTTTCTCGTCTAGATCAGTCAGCTTTAAAAACCACTATTATTCCTAAGAGTGTTGAAACCCATCATTTTCATGATTTTTAATGAGGTTACAGTAAGGTTTTAGGTTCTCACTTCTCCATGAAATTCAATTTCGTCTGAAACCTCGTTCACTAAAATATATCCTTCCAGAGAACCGGAAAAGGGATTATACTACCATATCATGATGTGTAGGTAATATCTTCCTATAGCATTATAATTTACTATGCCATTATTATTGCTCAATAATTATTTAAAAAAATGAATTATATACAAAAAATTTATTTACATATTTAAAACGGTCAAGACATCTCTGAGGGTTTTATCGTTTGAAGTAGTCCCTCATCATTTTGTGGAATTCTTTCTTCGTAATACGCCCATCTTTGTCACTATCCACCGCCACGAAGAGCTGCCTCAGATCCACTCGCCCAGCCTCTTCTCCTGCACAATAAAAAAATATATTAAATAATATAAATTTCAAAATATTAAATAGGATAAATCTTTCGTCAGTACGAAATTAATATATATTTTATGACTATCTCCTATTCATGTGATCTATAGTAGATATGAGTCTTTCAGTTCATAGAATGACTAAAAAGGAATAAAAACCACTCTGGATTTTCATTACATTTTTATCTTGTGTAAAAAAATAAAAGCTGTATTATCAGAAATCATTTTCAGTATAAGGAAATCTAACTTTTTTGTTTTGTTTTTTAAAGTAAGTCGTGTTTTTTGTTGATTAGGAAGCAATAACTAAAGAAATATTGAATTTAAGTAATTTTATTTATACATGTTTTGGGCTCTTCGACCACCTGGGTAATTTTCGTCCTATATTACAATTTGATCAATTACTACACACATAACAAAACTAAAGCTAAGAAATACAATTTAATGTTTGAAAATTTTAGAATAGTTACAGATGATTATAATAGTACAATTGAACTAAAATTATAAAAATTGAAAGTTAAAGATTTATTAGGAGATAAGTTAACAAAGACAATAAAAATAAAGATTAATGATATAAAGAATAAAAGCTAAAGAATACATTTTTAAATAATAAAAATTAATAATAATAATAATGATAATTAATAATAATTAAATTTAAGTAATTAACAATAGCTAACACTGCAAAACTAGACAAAATTTATTTTTAATTAAATAGTATTCGTAATTGTTAACACTATATATACAGACTTTTTGAGTGAGTAAACTAAGCCAAGTTGTGTTTAAAAAAAAATCATAAATTATTTGATATTTGATTCATCATCATCCAACTATTTTACAGATAACTTTTTAAAATTTAATTTAAAAATTGCTTGTTTAATATGTTTTAAATAAATTGAATAAAGTCATTTTAGTAATAATTCTAATTGGAAAATTTATATCTGAACAGACAATGAGTAATTTGATTTCGGAGTAGTTTATTGCAGTGCTTAAATAAATAACTGTGAATAAAGGTATAAATTTTCTCACTGGAAATATCACTAAAATTAATAATAAAATATCTGGTATGTCCTCCCACACGACGTTCCTACCTATTTCAGAAAAGTTTTGATATATTTACATATGTTCATGAAGAAAAAAACAACAACAAAAAAATGAACTTCAAATCGATTTTGAAATAGAAATTGAAATTGAAAAAATAGATTTATTTTCCTGAAAATTGATAAAAGAAAAGACTTAAGTACCATTTATTTGATAAAATAAAGCAATGTAAACCGGCTTAAGGTAGATCGGTGTAAAAATTTCAATACCCTCTAATATTGCTGATCAAAAACTTTTTCCCATAGCTTAGTATTGTCAAACAATAATTTCTGTTAAAAGTAGAGGAAATAGTGAAGCTTGTGTGATGTGTGATTTTCTTAATTTCACTTAGTCATCTTTTTTCCCTCATTCATCCCTTTCTGTAATCAGGATATGAACCCGTAATCTTACATTGGAAATTGAATAGCTGTAACTTTGTTAATAGTTGTTCAAAATGAACGATTTTTATATAGTTTTGTAGGGAATTTCATTACGATATCGGAAATTTGTCCCGATTGCAATACTTTCCTTACCTAGTATAGATAGGAAAGTAAAAAATGTTGAAATTGGAGTTAGCCATTATGTCAACTGAAAGGCTCATAAATCATATTAATATGACATTTGGCCATATGATGTACCAAGATGACACTGCCTAGCTCACCAATCACTGCCTATCAGATGAAAACATCAGGTTACATTACAAAGTTCAGGTTTTACAAGTTCCTGTGCGAAAGTTGTATTTAAGGGTTTAAATAGAAAATTACTAGACAAACTCTAAACTTCCCATTAATTACAAAATACTCATATACTTGACTATAATAAGACCTATTTGGACTTGGAGTTGAGCTATGGGGCTCCACTAAACTATCGAATTCCTCTCGCATCAAATCCTTACAATCCAAAATCCTTCGTAAAATCCTCAATGCTCCTTACTTTGTCACTAATAAAATTATCCATAAAGATCTTAATGTTCCTTATGTTTCAGATCTGGCCCAATCCAGATACCTATCCTTCCATAATAAACTTCAGAATCATCCCAACCCTCTCGTTTCTAACCTTGCTTCCTCTTCAATTCCTGATAACCCTCCGAGGCGTCTGAAAAGAAGATGGCCCCGTGATCTCCTAATGTACTCATATCATTAGAGTGTTACCATTGGGTAGTTACTCAGCAAGTGTATTCATGTCATTATATCTATTATGTCCAAATTTACTAGATGTATTTATGTAATACAGTTGTAAATGTCATTTAAATATAAAAAATAAATAAAAATAGAAAATTACATAATAAACATAATATCAATACAACTTATAAATTGAAGAATCGGAAAAACCTATCTAAGTTTATCAAGAGGAGCAAAGCCTGGGCAAACAGAGCGGCCTAAGTTAGCTCAACTACTTAGGTCTGTTTGGACTGGCATGATGACACTGAGACCTGAGCAGCAGCCTGGTCTGGGTCCGGTAATTCTGTCCCTCTTCAACTCCCCTTGTAACTACCGCTGGCGCTTTGTTCCAATCAATTTGTTTCACTAATTTAATAAACCTTAACGAACTAACTGCCCACAACTTAGGAAACAAGGGTCAAATCAAAATTATTTGAGAATAAGGAATATTTAAATAAAAATTGGACGAAAAGTAAGTGAAAAATTAGAGTTGATAAGTGAAGACAACGTAATGTATTCATTTTACAAACAAGAATAAGGTATAATTATTTCATTCACTAGCTATCTTAAATGGGAAGTAGTAGTTGCATTTCAATTTACCAGGAGCTTATCCCTTTTCAAAATGATAGAATTTAAATTAATTCAGAAATATTTATTGTGTAAAGTAATTAAAAATCAGATGATTAGGTCACGTGCAAAGAATGCCAGACCAAATAGCTGCATGAGAAGCCGGATGGCAGAAGAAGTAGGGGGACCCTTGGATCAGAAGGCTGGAGGATGTTGAGGACGATCTGAGGCGGCTGGGCGTTCGAAGATGGAGGGAAGTATTACAAGATCTTGGAGATTGATTGGCTACAGTGGTCGAGGCCCGAGTTCTTGCAGGACCGTAGCGCCATTATAATAAATAAATAAATAATTAAAAAAGACACTAAGGTGTGCGCTTTAGACCACTAGCGGATCTAGGAATTAATTTTGTGGGGGGAAACTTCAGCCCGAAAGGTTTTTTTTTTTCATATACCTATAACGATAATTAATTTGAAAAATAGGAAATAAATTAACTACTTATATGAAATAGTGTTTAAATGGTTTTTGAAGTCTTATTAAATATAATTACATGAACAAGAATACTTTAAGAGAAGTATTTAATATTTTTTTCTGTAAAACATAGTTATATTTTACCATTTTTGGGGGGGTGGCTTCAGCCCGAAAGCCCCCTCCCTCCCCCCGTAGATCCGCATGTGCTTTAGACCACACGATAGAAGTTAAAACATCAACAAGACGAGATTTATATGAAATGTAAATTTTAAATAACGCTCATTATAAAGAGGATGAAATTTTCCTCGCTTACAGTATGCAGGTCCGATTTTTAGTTTCCGAGATACAAAACTTGTTATCGTTTGGTTTTTTGACACTATTTTTTTTCCTTTTCGCCTCTCTTACGAGGCGTTGCGTTAAGATAAAATTTTGAATAATAACCTATTACAGAGAGGATTAACTGTTAAACAATTCTCTCGCTTCCAGTATCCAGTCTCGATTTGTAGTTTCTGAGATATTATAATCCATACCTTCAATAAAACTCGTTATCATTTGGTTTTTGAGACTATTTTTTTTTGTCGTCTCTTTAACACGGCGTTACGTTAATGTATAATTTTGAATAATATCTTATTACATAGAGGATGAAATGATGTATACTTCCCTTGCTAACAATTTGCAGGTCCGATTTTTAGTTTTTGAGATATTTTAATCCATATGAAAAAACATTTCAATTAGTCGCCTACAGCCAACTTTTACAACTTTTACCCGAGCGTTAAACATCGGAGATCTCACGACTCAGCCTAATTTACTCTCCACAACTATGTGCAAAACGTGCCTAAAGAAGTTTTCACTTGAAAAATCTCCTTAAACTTTCCCAGAATAAGTACGCTCCACCTCTGGAAACAATATACGAAATTAAAAATCCGAAATGCACGTTTTGTGCATATTCATTAAATGCTACAGTATTTTACCATCAGAAGATATTTTTATATTGGATACTGTAACTTCATAAAATTGACATTTGAGTTAGAAAACCGCTAACCTCAACGTTCGAACAGGGCATGTTTAATTTTGTTGGGAAAACAGATTGAAATTGGATCCAGGATTTGTTGTTTGTGTAGTGATTGAATGCCAAGTGTTGATGAGATGACATAGAAAACCTATCAATATGCTGATCGCTTTTACCAGTATGGATCTGGATTATATTTCTGCCTGCAAGTAATGTATAAAAATAACAAGTATTACCATAATTAATTTAAAAATAGATTACCTTATCGCATCATCGATTGTTATGGCAACGTACAAGAGATTTCACCTACCGCCGCTTCTATAAATATAAATTTAAACAACTAAAGCAAGAATTATCGAACTTCAAATCCCAATCCTTTAACTCCTTCCTGGCCTCCCTCTGCTCTCAGGACAACTCCCTCTAGAATATCACCAAAAAAATTCTAAAAACCCATTATATTTCCCATCCCCTCTCCTCCGTAAAGGTGATGGCTCCTAGGCGGCGTCTGATGAAGACAAAGCTGAGGAATTCACTAAATACATTTTCAGTACATTTACTCGTCATGCTGAATCCAATCCGACCCACATTGCAAAAGGAGAAGAATTCAGATCTTCACCAATTTCACTCTCTTTACCACCAAAATCAGTTCATCCTTCTGAGGTCAAACATCATTTACAAAAACTATCCCCCCGTATATCTCCTGGGTACAACCT